TCTCTTAACCTGTCTTGCTCTCTGCAGAAGAAGGTCCCATTATATTGAAATGAGATTATTAGCCATCAAATACTTTCTTTCTCGGGAGTTTTTTTTTTTTTTTTAAATTCAAATACCTTAACGACTTGGCAATTGCATTTTGATCAGATTTAGTTGGCGCCCCAGCCCGGCGCGGGAACCGGGGTGGGAAGGCAGAAGGTTGGCGAGGGAAGATGGAGTGCCGAAGAGTTTGCAAAGGCGAGCAAACCCTCTTTCATCCTGCCCTTTGGTTCTCGTGCACCCGGGCGGAGAACTGGAGGCCTAGAAAGGGGTGTGAGATAAGGGACGTCGGAGCGAGCTGGGAGGGTGAGGGCGCCTTCCACCGCCTTCCTGACCTTGGCTTAAACCACTACTCAAAAGGGAAGGAGAATGTCAGACTGGGCGGATGTGGACGATGTTCCCCCTACCCCCCATCCCTCGCCCCCAGCCGCCCTTCCGCGGAAGTTTCAGGGCTGCAGGAATAGGGGTGGGTCTCGGGCACCAGGTAAGAATTGAGGCTGGAGCTGGCAGTGGCTTGGACTTAGCTGTTTCCGCTGAAGGTTTGCTCAAGGCTCCCGCCAGGTTCCTGGTGGATGGAATTTCAGTACGTAATAAATGGGGGTTTGCTCTACGCCCAAGGTCTGTCTGGTTTTACTGAAGATTGTGAGCCCCATGAGGGGGAAGCCCATCTTGCATCCAGACCCTGGAACCCCTGTCCCTACTGCCAGCAGAGCACCGCCTCCACCCCCCAGCCCCCTGACTGGAGGGAGGATGTGAGGTGGAAGATTTTCCAGACTCTAATTGTAAAGCCCCTCACTTTGACTTCCCCTGGTGGGAGGAGCAGCCAAGCTTGTGTTTTCCTTGGCTTCAGCCCAGACTCAAGGAAAATAGAGGGAGCAAGACAGCTCACCAGTCCCACCTCCCCAACACACACACACACACACACACACACACACTCTCATGCTTCACTTATAATTCTGGCTGGCCTCATCTTGCGTCTAGTTCTAGCCATCACCTTCTCCCAGAGCGTCTCTGTTAAGGTACTCAAAATCAAAACGGGAATCCAGAAACTTGTCTTCTAGGCCAGGCTAGAACCATGACCCCTTGCACCAGTCAACCCTTGTCTTAGAGCCTCCGTTCCCCACCCCCGCCCCCTGCATAATGACAGCCTTGGACTTGAGAGCTGTGGGGTTCCTTTCATCTACAGCATTCTTCTCTGATAAAGTTCTTAGTTCAGGTGTGGTCAGCTAGAAGATTCCAAGAAGGTCATACTGTCTCTCTCCTCCCATCTCTTCAGAAAAAGCAAACCAGAGGTGGAGGGAGAGGGAAGGGTAGGAGAAAGAGAGGGGAAAGAATGGTGAAGGGAGGGAAGAATCTACTGAGACTTTGGGAAATGTTCAGTGTCTACTGAACTAAAGCATGCTTACCTAGGACCCAGCAGTTCTGTAGGAAGGCGATGTTGCCCCAATAGAAATGCAAACTAAGTTCACCAGAGACCATGGACAAAAATGTTCACAAAGGGGCTGTTCACAATAGCCCCAAACTAAAATCTACTCCATGTGCAATAACAGCAGGATAGATCAACAAGCTGGGGCATAGTCACACAACTGAATACTAAATAGAAGGGAAGTTGATGAACTATTGCTACATGCCACAACACGGTGTTCCTCACAATCTGGAGCAAAAAAAAAAAAAAAAAGGACATAAAGGATACATACTCCGCATGTGTGTAAATACAGATAAGAAGTCCCTATGCTATGCAAGGCAAGATGGGGGTTACTCTGAGAGAAGATGCATGGAAGAGAGCATGAAGGAAGTTTCTAGGCTGGTGGTGATCGCCTAATTCTTAATCTGCTTACACAATAGTTTGTGAAAATTCATTGCAATGTGCGCCTATGTTGAATGCATTTATGTACGTATATTTAAGCCTCAAATTGGACATTTCTTCTTTCCAATTCTCATTCTCATCTGCACAATCATACATGCTAATGGCCAAACTCGCTATTGGCAAGAAATCTATCATCAGACCCTCTTGCCCTGAGCCTGGCACTGTGGAGCAGCCACATATGTAGTGTAGTCCCTGTCCTTATGTGTTTGCTACTGAGTTTGGGAGGCTGACAAACATATAGGGGAAAAATCCAGGAAACATCCAATGGGCTAGAATAAGTGGTTATGACAGTGTGATTTAGAGTCCAGATCCATCACTTACCAGTTGTGTGACCTTGGACAAGTGACTTCACCTTTCTGGGGTCTAGTATCTGAAATACATATTTACATCTTTACTCACAAGGCTATTGTGTAGATTAAACCAGAGAATCTCCACAACAGCTCTGTAAACACTGGACACTATTCTACCTGGTATGGTGGCAGCTGTGGCTCAGGCTGCTTGGGGATTAGAGAAGAGGGGGCTGGGTGTAGTTGGAGGAGACAGGAAAGGCCTACAGACATAATGAGCTGGAGAAGATGATGAAAAGGGGGGCTAGACAGATCATCTGGCACTGTATAAAGACATATCATCTTGATCACCTCCAAGGACAGAAATGGCAATGTTTGGAGACAGTTTTAATTGTCACAATTTGGATTGGGGGGAAGGAGGTACTACTAGCATCTAGCAGGAAGAGGTCAGAGACACTGCTAAACATCCTACAATGTACAGGGCAGCCTTCACAAAGAAATTATCTGATCTAAAATGTCAATGGTGCCAATGCTGAGAAACCTTGATCTGAAGGATGGAGAGCATATGATAGTGAAAGGAGGTATTCCAGCAGGGAGAGGGATGTGATAGGAACTGAGGCATGGGGAATGCCTAGAGATGTCCCTGCTCTCATCTTCAATCCTCAGGCTGCAAGTTCCTCACTCACTGCCCAGATTTCACAACTTGCTAATGGTTTGGAAAGCTCACCTGGGGCCTGATTTCTTTGCTGTTCTCAAGAGAGACTTGGATAGAGCAGAGCAGATTCTCAGAAGATTTGCAAGGCTACAATAACCTATTGGAACCACAATTGCAGGAAACTCCTAAGATCTTAGGTCTTAGAAAGGAGTAGGACTTGTCCACCACCATACGGTACAGCTTGGAATGCTGAGACTCAACCCTAGCACAGGATTCTTGGCCTACAGCAGGTTAGAGGGAGCTGAAGGTGTTGATTAAATAATCTAGAAGAGGGAAATGTGACACTTTTTAAAAGTCAAAAGGACAGTTGGCACTGAACTTCAGAAATGCCCAAGAGAATAATATGATTCTCTAGGGACAAGTATAATTCTGGGCACTAGAACTGGCTGCAGGGTTGCAGAGGAATCTGACATTAATATTAAAAAATGTCTTTCTTGAAGCAATTTATGTGTGCCAGGCCTTCCTCTAAATGGTGGGGAAATGGCATTGAACAAAAGAGGCAAAGCAACCTGTATGGGGCACAAGTACGGAAGGGGAGAAGAGAAACAAAATAATACATAATGTAATGCCAGATATGGGAGCACCTCCTATGGGTTTTAGTATTCTTCATAAGTATTCTCAATTTCATAAGAAATTTTAAGATAGAAATTCCTTCTCCCAATTAAGATGAAGAAACTGAGGCTCAAAAAACATAAGTGACATCCCCAAAGTAAAATGACTGGTAAGAAGAAGACTGGATTTGAACTTAGGTGGTCAATTCATGATGACAATACTCTGAAAGAATTTCCTTAACCTGAAAAAGCCTAAAACATAGCCTGACAGTAATCATCATACTTAATAATGAAATAGTGAATGTTTTCTCTTTAGATAAGTACAAGTTAGAGATGTCCATTCTCAACATTTCTATTAAGCATTGTACTATATGTCCTGCCCAATACAATGAGAGAAGAAAAATAAATAGAAGGCTTAAGGATTCAAAATGGGAAAGTAAAAAAATTATTATTCATAAATGACATGGTATATGTAGAAAATCCAAAATAATTTACTAACTACTTGAATTAAAATATATATTTAGGGCCTCCCTGGTGGCACAAGGGGTTAAGTCTCAGCACTATCAAGCTATCTGCAGTTACTGCAGCACAAGTTTGATCCCCAGCCTGGGAGCTAACCCAGATGGTGCAGCAGACCTCCCCCGTTTCAACTGCTGCTCCCCTCTGCAGTGTATTTCAGACCGAGTGCTCCCCACTCTCTCTCAGGTGGATTCTCTCACCCCCACCACCCCTGTACCTCTGGCCTACACCCCAGCTCTTGTATGCATAAATAAATAAATAAATCTTAATATATATATATATATTTTTTTTTTTACCAAGTCACTGAATACAAGTGATATACTTAGATAAACTACCAGCAACAAAAATAAAAATATAAAAAGCAGAGCAATCAATAGAGGATGCTAAAGGGCATGGGCTTTCTTCGACAAAGTATTCTAAATTTGATTGACATAACAGTTATATATATCTGTGAATATAGTATGTAAATTATATCTCAATAAAGCTTTTTTTGAAATGGAGTGTGTATTGTAAGGCTTCCCTTCCTATATACTACCCATTACCAGTCCTTAGAAAAATTCCCTAAAAAATATGATTTACAATAGCAGTAAAATCCATCGAATTCTCATGAACAAGTCTAATGAAAATGTACAAGACCTCTACAATTCATCACCACCTCTATCAAACATCATTGAGAGAATTTAAAGACCTAAACAAATGCAATGATATACCATGTTCATGAATGGGAAGACTCATACTGTAATGATGTCAGGCCCATAAAGTCAATATAATACCAATGAAATACTATCAGATTTGTTTGTGGATCAGGTGGATCTTACTCCATGGCCCACTGCCATTGTACACTATAGAAAAAAGTCCACGGGCCATAGTGTCTCCTGTGCATTGGTTTACAGGAGCCATAATTGAAGGATCATCAAAACCCTCAACCATAAGATACCAATTGGGATTAAAATGAGAAGATAAATGTGATTTCAGTTAAAATAGCCACCATGCTTTGAGTAGACACAAGGAAAGGACCATAATTGACTAAATTTATTTTTATTTAAATAAGATTTGCAGAAAGGACTAGAATTTGTCCTGCTCCACAAGTGATATCATTGGATATTTGGCTCTCTGCCTGGAGGACTCACTGACTCCTCCCAGTGAGATGTTGGTGTGCAGGGATTCCTCTGAAAAGGTCTTAGATAATGGATTAAGAAATCGCTGTGGCCACACGCCCATAGATACTGGCTTGCGTAATGCCATGGCATTGCAAGAAACTCTTGACTTGCTCCAAGATAGCAACTGGGACTTGGTCTTCGCCTTGGGCTTTGGAGAGCTGCGGGAGAATTGAGCCCTAAAGACAATCACTGGAGAAGACTGGTGCTTCCTCCCTGATGACACTTTGGGGAGCATCTGAGAGATGGGGCGGGAGACTGGTGGGAGCCGTGGGTGCAGTACTACCTTTGTTCTAAGGCTGCACCCACAGAGGCAGGGCTCAGAAGCACGAGGCAGGGAGAGGCAGAGCTTATTGCCCAAAGAGTGAGAGGGCAGGATTCCCTCTGCCTCCCATCTTGATCCCTTGGCAGGCCAGGATTTCCTAGAAAGGGGGAAGACTCAGGTCAGTTAAAAAAAGATTCAGCAAAGAGAGAAACAGATGCAAGAAGAGGACTTTCCTGCCTCAATACAATACTCACTCTGCTTTTTTCTGAAGAAGATTCTCTTCCCCCAGGAAGGAGGACTTATAGATAGATTTTACAACAGGGTATCTCTTCATTTTCTCTAAAGAGAGAGAGAAAGGTTAATATCTGGGAATGGGATGAGAGAGGTAGTTGATGGCTCAGAAAATCAGTGATATTTTTCTTCAAGAAAGAGAGAGGAAAATGAAGGACAAGGAGCCTGATTGTTTAAGGTTGGAGTAGTCGAACACACTTAAAATTCTCTCTTCAGCACACACCTCTAGTTAGGGAATTAGTCAGAGTCCTTTTTTATAGTCTGAGCCTGGAACTGAAATGTGAGACAGGATAGATGAAAGGTGTCATTGAGAGACGGGGGATGCTCCACTTAGAACAAACACATCATTGAAAGTACCTGACCCTACTATGATGTCACAGGTGGATTACAGGTAGTAGTTTCCAGCAACCTCTATGTTGAGTGGCTGAGCTCAGGGGCCCAAGCTCCCCAGGAGCCTAGAAGGTCCTGCTTTTCCCCTAGCTGGTACACCAAGATCATCAGCTCCAGAAACACTTCATGCTCTTTCATCCACTCACTACCATGTGGGACCTTTCCTGAAGAATCTGTCTCATAGAACTGCAGTCTAGCTGGGAGAAGTGCATACAGCACACCAGGTAAACACCACTGGTGCATAGCCCCATGAGCTAGATTGACCGGGTTGGCACTAACAGCTAATATGGTCCATCTCTGAAGCTTGAGGAGTCCAGAAAACTTCCTGCTGGTGGTAAACCAGTAGAGCTGGAGTTAACAATGGATGAGATTTGGTGGAGGAACCAGGCCAGGGTTACTGAGACAAATGCAAAGCAGGATCAGGAACCAATAGGCCCGCTTGGCTGGACCAGTGGATTCACATTTGTGGGGGCCAGGCAGTAAGAGAATGGAAAACAGTGTGGAACCCTGATAGGGAGGTGAGAATTTGGGCTTACTGAGGGTATGGGAAGGCTTTAGGAGATGAGGTGCACTCTATCAGCCCAGTCTTCACAGGTAACAGTCAACAAACTCAAGTTTGGAGAATTAAAAGTTTGATAAATGTATTTTAGATTCCTAGAGCTTCTGTAACAAATCACTATATTCCAGGGATTTCAAACAATAGAAATATTCTTGTCTCAAAACTCAGGAAGCCAGAACTCTGAAAATGAAGTTGTGAGCGGGGTTAGTTCCTTCGGGAGGCTCTAAGAGAAAATTGTTCCATGCCTCCTCTGGCTCCGGTGGTGTCAGCAATCCCTGGAAGTCCTGGGTCCTAGCTGCCTGCCTCTAATCTCTGGCCCCATTATCATGTGACTTTCTTCCCCGTGTCTTCACATGGCCTTATACAGACACCAGTCAATGGAGTTAGGGCTCACACCTAATCAGTATGACCTCATCATGACTAATTACATCTTCAAAGACCTTCTTTCCAAATAAGGTCACATCCAACCCAGCACAAAGGGACTATTTACAGAGGCATGGGCAGGGTAGGAAAACCCAAGGGATCATGCAGCCTTCAGGATTTAATCTGAGAGCTACACCCCCTTTGAAAGATAAGGGGAAGGAGCAGTAACAGCACTGGAAAGAGAGTCGGACACAGAAGGCCACCTTGAAAAGAGCTGTGACCTTTGAAGGGGCCAAATCAACCTGTGGAGAAGGAACCAGGGCAACAGTGCTCTGCCCTCACTCTCCTGCCTCTCTGGGACCCTCAGCCAGGCTTCCTGCCCAACGTGACGGGAAGGGAGGCCATGGAGGACACCCCTATGAATCAGCTTCCCAAAGTGGCCCAAAGGGACCTGAAGGGACAAGCAGAAGATTGCCAGTTAGTGACATAATGCCCCCCGGGGGGTGACAGTCAACAAGACACATCCACATGGGCTAGACGGAGACCCCAGGAAGGGAAGAGGGCTGGACAGGGCCTGTGCATGACAGTGTCTCTTCGGCCTCCCGTCTGGTGTTGTTTACAAATCAGTCATGGGGGAGAGCCTGGGCCCATTTGTGTCAGGACAGGGGGCCTTGGAGTGAGAAGGGTGGGCCCCAGCTCTCAGGAAAGGCGGCATGATGAGGTGACTTAAGGTATTTGCTTCCAGGTACTGGCCCAGGATCAAATTTTGTCATAGTCACCTATGTGGGCAGACTCCCAGTTTTTTTTTTAAGATTCATTTTATTTATCTATGCATACAAGAGCTGGGGTGTAGGCCAGAGGTGCAGGGAGTGGGGAGCAGTGAAAGGATTCACCAGAGACAGAGTGGGGAGCAGAACAGGCAGACTGACTGAAATACACTGCTGAGAGGAGCAGCAGGCAAGACAGGGGAGCTCTGCTGCACCATGTGGGTAGCTCCCTGGCTGGGGATCAAACTCGTGTCTCAGTGGCTGGCAATAGCTTAATAGTGCTGAGACTTTAACCCTTGCACCACCAGGGAGGCCCAAGATACTACCAAAATCTTAAAGCCAGAAACAGAAAGACAACACCATCTTCGATAGAACTAGAGATATCTAAATCTCTGACACGCTACAAGCAGCAGAAAGCAGGCATCAGAATGGCACTTGGCAGAGCCAACAGGAGGAAAGCCAAACCCTAATCTCTGCAGAAGGCACCAAGGAGAAGAAAACATATTAGCGACAGAAAACTGATGAAAGATTCAGAAATGGGAAGCACAAGATACTGCAGAAAGCCAGTGAAGTGGAGGGCTAGACATGGAGATTATTTGAAACCCTGCATAAAAGAATAATAATGCTATTCTAGGGACTCCCAACCCCTACAACCAGCCAATCACACCCTCCCAACTCTGCAGGAGATGTGACATTTGCTCTGGAATTGAGGAATTATGAAATGAATGCAAAGGAGGGCCCCAAATGGGAACATCAAAAGGCCCAGGGAGGGGGCCTGTTCTGCTCCCCACTCTGTCTCTGGTAAATCTGCTCCTCCCCAACACCTCTGACCAACACCCAAGTTCTTGTATGCCTAAATAAATAAACTTTTATTTAAAAAAAAAAAAAAAAGGCCCTGTATGGCACAGAGCTCCCTAAGCCTCCCCTCTCGGCTCCATATACAGCAGCTGCACCCCGCGGGACATGGGAGAAGCCTTCTCCAGAGAAACCAAACAACCCCACAGGGAAAAGAAAGTGGAGGCAATGGTATCTGGAGCTCCCAAGAGATAGCCGGGTGGCCACCTGATCAAGAATGCCAGTACAGGGCCTCCCTGGTGGTGCAGGCGGTTGAGTGCCGCTCTGTGAAGCTGTCCTCAGCCTCTGTATTGAGGGTTCGATCCCAGCTGGCCAGTGAGAATCCCACATGGCGCAGCAGACCTCTCCTGCCTTGCCCGCTGCTCCCCTCAGCAGTGTATTTCATCACTCTGCCTGTTGTGTTCCCCGCTCTGTCTCTGGTGAATCCTCTCACCCTCCCGCGCATCTGGCCTGTACCCCAGTTCTTGTATAAATAAATACATCTTAAAAAAAAAAAAAAGAAAAAGAAGAATGCCAGTACAGAAGCCCTTCCATGCACTTCCAGTCAGAAACATCTAAGAATGAGCAAGTATTTGATCTCTTAATGTGTCTAACATTAAGGGAGGGGAAAAAAGCAATGGAGAAAAGAGGCAATTGTAGAAAACAACAATTCAAAGAAACCATAATACATAGCTTTAGAAAGATAAAAGAGATATTACAGCCATGAAATCAAAACAGGATGCAATTTTAAAAAAAGGAGCAGAGAACAAATTAAAAATGGTAGTCAGAATTTAAAAGTCAGTAGTAGGATTATGATAAAATTGATGAAATCACCTAGACGGTAGAACAAAAAGATAAAGAAAGGAATAATAGAGACTTTCAAAAACTGAGGATTAGCCCAGAAGATCAAAACCATTAGGGAAAATAGATAATGAAAGAACTAAGGGAAGAGGAAATTGTGACAGGCTGTATTTTCCAAAGAGGGCTGCACGATGCCTACCCCACATGCCGTCTTGGACTTTGCCATGTCACCATCCAGAGATGGTGGTTAGAAGGTCTTGCGGCTATTCGCCCTTATAGTGGGGTGGAAGGGCGGGTGGTGATGTGACTCTGACACAAGGCCATGAGAGGCAATGCTGCTTCTGCTTTGTTTGCTGGAAGAACCTCCCTGAGCCCCGGGCCACAATGCTAGCGGTCCGATTTCTCCTCAAGCCTAGCCCAAGCTAGGCCACATGAAGAGCTCACATAGGACCCCCGCGAAGAGGAGAGATGGCCAAGAAACCTCCACTCCAACCTCCTGCGCCCCAACTCGAGCCACCACATGACTCAATCTCTGGCGAGAGGGCCACCTTGTTGAGCTAATCCCAGATCAGTAAGAGGTTATACAATGACCATGTGGTTTGAAGTCACTACGTTTTGGGGGTGATGACACAGCAATAGGAAGCCAGAATGTTGCCTAAGCGGTAACACTTCCCAGATTGAAAGATCTGAGTTATCAGACTGAAAAAGCCCCTCTGAAGAGTCTCCATAATTAATATGCCCACTCCAGGGCACAACATGTGAAATTTCAGAACAAATGGATAAAATTTAAATCCTTTTAAAACTGATGATAGAGGGCCTCCCTGGTGGTGCAAGGGGTTAAGCACCGCACTATGAAGCAATCCACAGCCTCTGCAGGGCGAGTTCGATCCCCAGCCGGCCAGGGAGCTACCCACATGGCGCAACAGACCTCTCCTGTCTCACCCACTGCTCCCCTCAGCAGTGTATTTCAGTAGATCTGCCTGTTCTGTTTCCCACTCTCTCTGGTGAATCCTCTCACCCCCATACCTCTGACCTGTACCCCAGGTCTTGTATGCATAAATAAATAAATCTTAAAAAAAAAAAAACTGATGATAGAGTCACATAAAGCAGGGAAATGACACAGAAGAACAAATGTCAGTTTGGCACTGAACTTCTCCAAAAGGATAACAAAAGGTACAAGTCAATTGACTACAAGTCAATCAATCTCTTTGCATTAGATAGACTAGACTTTAGTGCCAATAAACCCCCAAATGAACACAATATAAGTTTAATATTTTGCTCACATAACAGTCCTGGATGGATGTTCAGGTAATGGAAAGTAGTCTCAGATAATAGTCAAGTAATTTCTTCTTCATGGGACCCAGGTTCTTCCCATGTTGTGGCTCAACCACACCACAGACTCCCTGCTAAATGTTTTGTTTGTTTAAGATTTTTATTAATTTTTCATAGAGGAACTGGGGTGTAGGCCAGAGACATGGGGGGTGGTGAGAGGATTCACCAGAGATAGAGTGGGGAGCAGAACAGGCGGATCTACTGAAATACACTGCTGAGGGGAGCAGCGGGTGAGACAGGAGAGGTCTGCTGTGCCATGTGGGTCAGCTCCCTGGCCGGGGATCGAACTCAGGCCGTAGTG